CCAACCCTACATTTATAGACAAAATATCTGATGCACACACCACATGACGTACTTGCACGGCCTGTTAAACTATATACATTTTTTGCTGCATTTCATTTAAACTTATTTCCCTGAATTTCATTAGAAATATAGTTCTCATTCAATTAATTCAGTTCTCTTTTCGCGGAAATGCAAAAATACAGAAAAATATAAAATACCAAATACAGTTTAAAAATGATTTTTACAATAAGATTAGAGTTTCTACGTAAAAAAAGCAATTCGGCCAACGGGCAGGAAGGCGTATTTTTCTGTACACAAAACTAAAAGTATATTTTCGGCCCTACTGAGCAAAAAAACACTAAATTTGAAGCTCAAACTGACTTAATTCACTATACTGCTAAGAGTTCCAAATGTAAATAAATGGTGGCCTCATTAGACTTTACACCACTTAAACAACTTTTAAACTGTTGATAATTCTACAACTATTACATGCAGACTAACTAAAGCCACAATACACTTAACCGGAACATAAGAACAACACAATTCAATAACTTTTCAAAGAAAAGTGCACAGTTTACCAACATATAAGAATATAAAACGGATAACAGAACGGATATATATATATATGTGTGTGTGTGTGTGTGTGTGTGTGTGCTTGGTACAGACGATTGCAACCAAAAAGGGGAATGCACAACTACATGTTAGAGCAGTCCCATATAAAAAATTTCAACGTTCTGGAGGAAACGGCTTTTGAGTTATGCGAGATGCACACGTAAGTACAGACATCACGAAAAAATACCATCTGAATCTATTTTAAATACATTTTACAACTTTTTGGGGGAAACCAAGGTCTTTTATTTTGTCCATACGTACAAATGTCGCGCACATAAATTGTTTAAATGGATTCGAGAGCGATAAAAATGGGTATTTTCGTTGAAATATGATATCCGAAATTATTTGCGCTTACAATACTTCCGTTACTTCGTACAAGAAAGTAAAAAAAATCTTAAAAGAAAACATGAAGATAAAATAATAATAATAAAAAAAACATGAACAAGCTGCAATTGTCCATATTTCGCCCATTAAAAATAAATGCTGGCAGTTTGTCTGTGCCTCAATAAAACTGCGAATAAATTTCATATGTAACACATGGAATAGTCTCGTGTTTGACTGAAAGAAAAGCAAACATTCAATTAACAGAAAAGTTGTCGAGCAAAAAAGGGGGAAAAAGTAAATAAATCTTCGTCATCTTTACCCTCATGTCCAGCTCGTCCTCGTTCAAAGCGGACTTCATCTTCTTTGTGCTGTTGTGATTTGTCTCCGAGTTCTTCATGGCAAAGCGGAAATAACTTCGGCAAATGTCAGCGTCAACAGCCAGTGACAGGAAACCTTACAAGCCATTCTTGCAGTAGCGAAATGTCATTGGGTTTTCGACCTCTTGAGTCCACAAAGACCTGGAAGAAAGTAAATGATGTGCGGTTAACTAATATGAAAAAAAAAAAAAACTGAAGAGACAATGAATATAACTTTGCTCACAAAAGAATCATTCGGAGATGCCAATTAATTGTTATGTTAACAAATGTGTATTACTGCATCAAGATGTTCACATTTAGAAAAAGAGCTGTGATTCAAATACTGCACCTTTCCATATTCCCTAACTGGTTTCAAGAGTCATGAAGTAAGACAGTAGTGCATTAACTCATGCTGCAAAGCCGTTATATAAAAACAAGTAGATATTGTTAGAAAAAATAAGGAAATCCTATGTTAGTGAAATATTATTCTTTCAAGTAGTTTAGGTACATTTTATTTAATGTAAAAAATCTCAAGGTCTGTTAGGCATGTTACTGGCTTTCGCCAAAATAATGGGAACCATCTAAGAAACCTTCAAAGCGTATAAAGTTCAAAGATGTTCTTTACACTGACCACATTTTCTGTAAATAAATATTTCGCATAAATTTCTTCTTTTATTACATCCAAATGGAACTTTCTCTTCGTTGTATATATTCATATAACGTATATACTTATCTTAGTTCTGTAAAAATATTCCAATTTTCTTTATTTAACAAAATTTATTTTTTTGATTGTTACAAACCATATATTTTTCCAGCTTTTCAAATTCCAGCCACAAAATTTTAGGTTTCATATCGACGAATAATGCTGCTGGTCACAGATTCAATTACAATATTTATGTTTTTGTGCAATTACACGCAATATAATTGCACAAATATATATATATATAATATATATAAAGAATTCTAATAAATCTACTCGAATTTCATTTTATAGTTTGCTACCTTAAAAAAGTCACTTCAAGGTCGTTGCCAGTCCTCTCTATTTACGATTGTTGCGCGTGTCCTCATTATAGTACATCACTTATTTTCTCCATCTCGTTTTAGACTGAAGTTCAAATCAGCCTTCATTCGTGAAGCCTTTTCATGAAGCGAAACGTGCTAAACGGAAACGGAGGGAAAAAATTAAGCAGCTCAAACCATCTGCTGCAGCTGTCATCTCCATGGTTACGAAACAAGTATGGCGGCGAAAACTAAGCTTAAAATTGTTTCTATTTTAATGTAACATGCTATAATATCATATAGTATTTATACTCAGAGAATCGTTCGAAATATCCAAATTTTATCCGTTGTTTTGGGTATAAGTAAAATCAATCACGATTTTGCTGTTGCCATCGATACACATGTAACACAAAAACAAGATAACACAATCTTTACAAATTATTTTTAAAGCAAAATCAGTTACCTGAAAAGGTAAATAGACGATTTATTAACTACAAATATCAAAGCTTACATCTGATAGACTTATCCATTCATGAATGTTGCTTATCTAAACCATATTGCTCGAAAATCAAAGTTTTAACCTGAGAATGAACAACCTGTTGCTACAAGTGCCTCTTTGGAAATAAGGAAGCCAACAGCTTAAACTATAAAATAACTCAGACCTTTTTCATTGCCGTTAGGGACTTAATAACTTGGGTATTACCTAAAGAAAAATTACTTGCGGTATGAAAAGTCCCAGTACACCAAATGAAATATATATGTTATTTTTAGAAATTGAAATATATACATATATTTTTAGGACATTTATCTTTTAATATCTAAAAATGCATAGTATTATTTTATATTATTTTTAGAAGAAGTAATTTAAAAAAAATGATAATTGGAAAACTTAAGTTGCTAATAATGCCTTAATTGAAAGCTAGATTTCTTCGATTTTATTTTAATCTCCTAAGCCTAAAAATAATACATTAATAATGCAGAACTAAGACCAATAATTAATTCTTTCGAAATAATTTGGTAAACGTTGATTGGGCCTTTATTAAAATAGTGCTACTAGACATAACGGTGCGGAAAGAAATAAGTCAATTGCTCGTAAGGACCTAATTACTTACATTTTCCCAGAAACGCGCGGTATCATTTGATAGAGAAATCTTTCTTATGATAATAATGTTTTTTAATGGAAACTTTGGGAGTTCGTTTGCTCACCACTCGTTCTTTCCATACGACCTCTTCTGCTATTTTTGGAGTTTGTTTAACATTTTTTAATGATTTGCATAAGAAGAGGAAATGGCTAAGAATAATTCAGACATGAATGAGAAAGAAAAATTTTATTTCTTTTTCGAGACCTTAAAAATAATATTGAAAGACACGATTTTTGAACTTCTAATGTCATTATTTCTACTATGGATTGCTATAAAATTAGATTTCCGGCATGTCTGAATAATTAATTTGATATTGTACAGAAGAAAGCTTTATTTTACTATTTTTTAAAATTTATTTATTAGTTTCATTAAAATGGGTATGGATTCTTTGAACTAGAAATTTAATTTTTATTTCATGAAACTTCAATTCCTTTTTCTAGATTACTTATTTCATTACGTAGTAACTAGGAAACAAATAAAATGTAAACTACGCTGAATTAAATGAGTTGTTTAGAAGAACGTATTTCTGCATATTATGATTAAAATGTAATAGCCGAATTTAATGACTGTTCGTTATGATCACTGTAAATATATTTGAGGCTTTGTTAACAGTCTCTTTCATTCAGATACATTTCAAGACACTTCAAGGCACAGAATTTAATGAATCATATAAAAATATCTATTTGAGAGAGATACTCGTCAACGTAAAATATAAAAGAACAAAGGCACATATTTTAATAAAAGTCTGTTCATTTTGAAGGTGAGCTGACACAGGTCTCTTCTTCTGGTGTAAAAAATATTTTACGAAAATTGAAGGAGGACTATACATTTTACTGCCTGCTACTCTCAACTTTATAAAATTATTTTTCTTGAAGAAAAGCGATATATGTCAGGTTTCTTTCGTTTTTGTTTAATAAAGTTACATTTAAATTATACACCAACTTAAAGTTTATTTTTTGGCATATTTAAGTTATACATCAATTTAAAGATTTTTTTCTAATTTTACAGTTAAAATATATACAAATGCTCATTTAAAAATGAAATCATAGTAGCTTTTAAGACACATACTGCGGTAATATGATTTTGAATTTTTTATACAGGGAGTATTGAAGTATCTATTCTCAACTTAACGTAATGTAGTCAATATTTATCAAGTTGTCAAAATATAAAGTAATGGTTTCATAAATATTAAAAATGATTCCAAACCCATATTTTAATATATTCAAAAGAGTACAAGTTGTTTCAACTATTCAGATAGCAAAAGTAAATTTCGCAGTCCGGTGTTAAAATCATCACTCAGTTCAACAGTAATTAGTAAAATAGCTATATTCTTCAGCAAAGTCATCTTTACAGAACTAATAAGTTTTTAATACTTACTACAAATTCAAAATTTCCATTAAAATACTTTATCCTTCAAAATATTTCATAAATAAGCAGATTTACATAGCAAAGTGGCATTTTATATAGAAAACTATTTAATATTTATTCTACATACAAAAAATATTTTTATTATAATTTAAAACCATAGTTTTTACCACAGAACAATTACAAATCTATTATAACAATTAACAATACAAGCAACAGCTATACGAAATTAACATTTAGAAAAAAATAATAAATAGCATTTAGAAACTCTGAGCAAATATATTAGCTCCATAATGGTCAAAGATTGAGCTGTTCCATAAAAAAAGTAAACTGAAGCCCTTTCACCGACTTATCCTACGATTAAAATCAGTTTAAAGCAATTTTACTTTCTAATGCGAATGAATTTCCTTTCATTCTTATAGCATACACTATAAACATGGAAAAGCGTAACAAAATATACGAAGACCATCAGATTAGTCTTTGTACTGATTAAAAGGCTTTGGCATTCCAAATAAGATTGAAAACAAGTATCATCAATGAAAAATATGAATGAAATAGTTTTTTTTGTGCACGTGTGAATAGATTAGTCGAGCAAAAGACAACCACAACATTATTAAAAAGGGCTTCCCTTCTGAAATTAGCATACCTCGTAAGAAAAAACATCGTGTAAGGCATTAACGGACAAGAATAATCTCAGTCTTAGCCTAATGTAAAACTGCACCCCTAAAGAACGTGGCAGAAAGGAGATGAGAAAGAAAAAAAAAGATGAACTGACTAAATTTTTTAGACAAATGTCTGAAATCGTGATTTCAGGCATAACTTAAGTAAAATGCTTATAGTAAATATTTTTTTTTAATCCGTAGTGTGAAAACAACGTAAGCTGATTGAGAAGTTTTTACACTGGTTCTTTTATTCAGAATCATGTGACACCATGAGCCTTATAAAAAGTTTCCGTTTTAATGTAGCGTCTTTCACATAGAGTTACATTGTTACGATTTTTTACGAACAATTCAAAAACATGAAAGAAATAATTTTATGCAAATTCGTATATTTTACGTATCTGGTGTTTTTGATTTCCTCATTTGAGGAAAACTTCTCTATATGCAGCTTTTTTTTAACCAATGCTGCGAATACCTAGAAATCAAATAGCACTATGACAGCCAATAACAAAGTACTCCTGTAGTACTGTCTGGAGATTTTATATAGTTCTACTAATTCCACAGGAGCAGCATGCGTTGTACTGGAATAAAAATCACAGTTTTGCGAGAAAATCCTTTTTTTCCTTTACGGATTCATGCAAAATAGGTTTTAAGAGGGTCTGCAGAAATACATGCAGTATCATCGGCAATTATGAAACTGCATCTGCAAACGCACTGACGAACAATATCCAACAGTTATATACCATCAAATACACATAAATAAATTAAAGAATTGGACAGATTTCAGTATTTGATGGTATGTTTTTACGTGACGGTATTTATTACATTAATTCAAAACTTGAAACATGAAATGAATCATTATCTACGTGCTTTTGCTTTCATAATTGGAATAGAAAAGGCATATTCCAAGACAGAGGTTCCACCAGCTGCCCAAATAATTTAATGTCTCGGCTTTCTAAGCAGAGGGCACTTACTTCACATTACTTATCTTTTTGAG